CWMARAKMTMWGACTTTCTCCTTTTGTTTGGAATGGTGGAGCACCGAGAATAAGATATAAAACTTCACAGCTACCTAAGTCTGGATGAGGATGGGCTTACCATGTCTTAAATACTACTACATATCATCACATCATAAAACCACTTATCCTCTGATGTAACTTTGATTATGTAGCAAAATGGAAGTCCCTAGAATTATTACTGTTAAATAAAACCTTTACAAAGTCTTTTAAGTAACCCAGGGGTCGTCAAACAATGCAATTTTCAGAACCAGTGGGTAGAATTTTCAATGAACATTTGGTTAGAACTGGTTACTCAGTTTAATGGTAAATGGTAAATGGACTGTACTTATTTAGCGCTTTATCAAGTCCCTCCAGACCACAAAGTGCTTTACACTTATAGACACTCATTCACACATTGATGGTGGTAAGCTACATTGTAGCCACAGCTGCCCTGGGGCACACTGATGGGGTGGGGGTGGGGGGCTGCCATGCATCGGTGCCACTGGATCATCTGACCACCATCAGTAGGCAAGACAGGTAAAGTGTCTTGCCCAAGGACACAACGACTGAGACAGCTGGAACGGGGGATCGAACCAGTGACCTTCCAGTTACAGGACAACTCCCCTAACCACTCCGCCACAGCCGCCCAAATTTAAATGCCTAAAAGAAACAGGACTTTTATAAATATCTTCCGCTCCGCCACTTTTATGTAAAAAACATAAAAAGTATTCCTTTAGAGAATTTATCACCAATTACACAAATCTTTATTAAAAGYTACAAATCAAAAATACTTAAGAGAATATTTGGCGCCCTTTACTGGAATCTAATTAAATTAACTGGTAACACCACACATTATGTTAAGGAGAAATGGGAGAATGGGGATTTGTACGTCYGAGGAGGGGTACACTATAATTGAAACACAACATACCATGACAAACTTACAAATGTGGACTGATTTCTCTTTGAAAAAATTCCATCAGGTACTTCCCAACCCCAAAACMGGTATGTAAACACTTATGTGCTGGTGGAAATGTGGTCATTGATCCTCTGACCACTCTGGGAGGGTGTAAACCAAACTGTCAGAGAGGTTCTGGGCCATGACATTGAATTTTCTTGTTTATCTTTATATTTAGGAGTATGGGCATACATATATTGAAAGCTGATCGATATATTCTAAAATATTATGATGAAGGCAAGTAAGAAAGCTATAACTAAGCTATGACAAGTCAGGGATCCCCCTACCGTCAAGCAGTGGATGGGCATCATGAATAATATTGGGAGCATGGAGCATCTGACCTTTAAATTAAAATTACAAGAAGATAAGGGTAGGGCTTTCTGGGAAAAACGAGATGTACACCTTAAGGTAAGAGGAGAGAATCATTACTTTGATGCACCTAGTCTGTCTTTTTTATTTAATTACTTAATTCAAAATTTTCTCTGCCTCATCATTTTTGGTATTCTTGGTTTTTAAAGATCTCTTGCTGAACCCCAAAATATTCTACTTAGCCCCTTAACAGTCTTTGTTCCACCGGTGGGCAAAAAAACAATGTGGTTTCTGCCTTTAAATGATTCAAGACACTACCGGGGGCTATTATTTTGAGGTAATGAAAGGTAACAAGATAAAGCAAACGTATTGCAAGGTAATGCAAGKGTATTGTGAGATAACGCAAAGGTAACGCTAAAGTATTTCGAGATAACGCAAAGGTATTGTGAGGTAACCCAAAGGTATTGCAAGGTAACACAAAAATATTGTGAGGTAACACAGTTATTGCGAGGTAAAAGAAAAGTATTGCAAGGTAACAAAACACTATTGCGAGATAATGCAGTTTTTGCGTGGTAACGCAAAGGTATTGCGAGATAACACAAACATATTGCGAGATAATACAGTCATTGCGAGTTAACACAAAGGTATTGCGAGATAATGCAGTTATTGCAAGGTAACACAAACATGTTGCGAGATAACGCTAAGGTATTGCGAGATAACGCAAAGGTATTGCAAGATAACGCAAAAATATAGCRAGGTAACGCAGTTATTGCGAGGTAACAGAAAGGTATTGCGAGATAATGCAAACGTATTGTGAGGTCACACAAAAGGATTGCGAGGTAACCCAAAAGTATTGTGAGACAATACTGTTATTGTAAGGTAACACAAAGATATTGCAAGATAATAGTTACTGCGAGATAACACAAAGGTATTGTGAGATAACACAGGTATTGCGAGATAATACAGTTATTGCGAGACAACACAAAGGTATTGCAAGATAATGTGGTTTTGTGAGGTAACGCAAAAATATTGCGTGGTAACACAAAAAAAGCCTCCTATGTTGTAGACAACTTCCTCCAGTTATTATCTTTAGTTTGACAGCCTTACAAAAAATAAAAAATAAAAAAATTTCAAAAGACTTTTATTTAATTTCAGGAGTGACTAAGAGGTTAATGTGTATGTGTATTTTTTGTAATTTTCTTTTCTTTATTCATTTTTTCCTTTAAAATGTAAAATGATAAGAAAAAATTAAAATATAAAAAAAGATCTGACTTTTTCTTCCTTCAAATGTTGTTCAGAAATGTGTGTGAATCTGTGTTGGGGACACTTCTTCTTGGCAGAGATAATCCATTCCACCTCGCAGGTTTGGCAAATCAAGGCTCAACAGGCTGGTCACAAGACCACTCTGAAATGCTGTTTTGCTTTATTGGGAGGGTCTGAAAACAATGTTGATGGGTGTTGTCAGGAACTGGAATCAGATCCAGAGCAAGCCAAACGTGCTCAATGAGTTACATGTCTGGTGAGTGTGCTGGCCACGCAAGAACTGAGATGTGTTCAGCTTCCAGGAGTTGTGTACAGACTCTTGCAACATGGGGCAATGCATTGTCATGCTGCAACATTGGGTAATGGTCGTGGATGAATGGCCCAACAATGGGCCTCAGGGTCTCATCATGGTATGTCTGTGCATTCAAAATGCCATTTAAAATGCACTTGTGTTTGATGTCCATGACATAAGCCTGCCCATACCATGACTCTGCTGCCATGGGCCACTTGATCCACAAAATTAACATCATCAAACCATACATCCATACGATGCCACACACACACCATCTGCCCTGAACAGTGAAAACCAGGATTCATCTGCAAAGAGCACACCTCTCTAATGCGTCAGACGCCATCGAATGTGAGCATTTGCCCACTCAAATTGGTTACGACAACGAACTGCAGTCAGGTCGAGACCCCGATGAGGATGCAGATGAGCTTCCCTGAGACAGTTTCTGACAGTTTGTGCATACATTCTTTGGTTGTGCAAACCGATTGTTTCAGCAGCTGTCCCGGTGGCTGGTCTCAGATGATCTTGGAGGTGAACATGTTGGATGTGGGGGTCCTGGGCTGGTGTGGTTATATGTGGTCTGTGATTATGAGGCAGGTTGGATGCACTGCCAGATTCTCTGAAATGCTTTCGAGACGGCTCATGGTAAAGGAATGAACATTCGATTCGCAAGCAACAGCTCTGGTCGACATCCCAATTACACAGAACTTACAGCATCTGCTGCATTGTGCTGTTGTTAAAACAACACATTTCAGAGTGATCTTTTATTGTGGCCAGCCTAAATGCCCTATCACACTATAACATTTAATTTTTAATTTTTTTTAATTAACTTTTAGTTCAACAGGCGAAACATTAAGAACAGTTTCTTATTTACAATGTTGGCTTGAGAATGGATGGATTAAACAACTTATGCCAATTTATGGAAAAAATAGCTAATTTTCTAATAAAAGTTATATATTTGATCAGTGTGTTAGCATTACAGTATGTACACACCTAAAAGAGGCGTCCGGTTGATTTTTAAATTCCATCTTTGATACAGAAGTCTCCAAATTTTTCACAAGTTGGCATCAGTTGTCTACAAGTCATTACAAAGCCCTAAGGCACACCTTAAGTGCTCATTATTATACAAATTATTATTTGTATTTGAAAGAAGAAGGTATATTTTGTACATAGAAAAAGTCTTTGAGTTCAGCTCATAAAAAATGGGAGCAAAAACAAAAGTGCTGTGTTTACTCCTTCGAGGCACTTGTAAAATAAAATAATCCAAATTTAAATTGACAATCATTTGCATTTTTAACCATTGGTATTTTTTATAACTAAACTTTCAAGAAACATGTTACCATAAATGAAGCAAACTATCTCAAATAAAAGATGTAATTTAATCATAAATTCTCAGTGGAACAATCCACATTATCCAATTTAACCGAAACCAACCAAACGTGAAAAAAAAAAGCTGTTAAACCACAAAGCTGTGCTACAGATGTGCTGAACAAGTCAACCATGCAGTGGGTAGCAATTACAATCTTGCTGAGCTTTTTCACATAAAGTAAAACTCAAGTGGAACATTTTTATTTACCTCACTTGAAATCTAAACGTCTTGAGGCACTAAACATCCAACCATGTTGAAATAGTTAAAACTCAACACATTTTTTTTCTTTCATTACTGTTCCAAACATTTCTGAAACTTTTACAGATTCTCTTTTTGCTCTTATTTGTAATTAAGAGTTTCTTTACCTGGAAGGTCATCTTGTCCAATTCTCATTGGTGGGCAGACGGTATCCCCATCCAATCGGCTCAGATCTAATTCTGATGACACAAACACAACCCAGTGATAAAGTTACACGTTGGAAGAAACAAAACTGCATGATATCTTGTTTTGATTTAATTAGTGTTTTTATAGGATGATTAAAAATACCCTTTCATGTAAGAAAGGATGACTGTCGCAAAATACCGTGTTCATGTTTAATACCTTGCTTTGATCCAAAAACTTCACACTTTTATGAATTCTTAAATTCTGTCAGACTGAAACTAAAATAAAAAAAAACTATAAAAATGCAGTTTGAATGAATGTATGAATTGGTTGAAGAAGCAGAAACTGAATTTAAGTTCAAACATACAAAATGTGAACTATGCTGAACAGTAAAAAGCCAAAATGAACAGAACAGCAGCTAAAAGGTGCAAAACAGAAGCTGAAAACTATCATTAATACTAGAACAGCAGCAGTGGTTTTGCATTTGCAAAACCAACAGGATAGTTAAAACTAGAGAAATTTCATTCCCTGCAAAAATACTATTGTGAATGAATGCTTATTGCTGAAAACTTTAGCTGAAAGCTGCTGAAATGGAGCTGAAAAAGTTTTATAGCAAAACTGTTAATGCCAGTTCCATTTGAAGAGATGAAAGAAGCACAAAAAACCAGAAACTAGCAGAAGAATAGAAAAAAGGAGCACAATTATAGCTGAAAACGCAGAAAAAAGGTAAAATTAGAAAAAAATAAAATAAAAATAACAAGCTAAAGGTAGCTGAAACAAGTTAAAATTATTACACAGATGRTAAAAGGGGTTTAATAACGGAAAATTAGCAGAAAAGACAGCATAAAAGTACAAAAAAGTGACAATTTTGTAAAATAGCTCAAACAGCCGAAATTTGCAGTAAAACAGCTAAAATTTATCTGGAAATTCTTTAATTAGCATAAGTAAGCATAAGGAGCACGAGTTTGCTGAAGTAAGTAAGTAAGTGAACTTTAGTTATATGGCACCTTTCACAGGTCAGAAACCACAAAGTGCTTTACAAGAAAACATAAAAACACGAGATAAAACATGAARGATAAAACAACATACATGTGATAATAAAAAAATCTAATTAAAACCCAATCTGAACAAATGTGTCTTCAGCTGTTTTTTGAAAGTTTCAAGAGAATCAAGGCAGCGCGATACACGTCCGATTTTGCAAATGCTGCCTTCCTGAAATTTGGTATGCTTGTTTGTCTTTGTGTCTATGGTGTATAATGATGTGATTGTGTGCAGTATTTCTGAGTGTTTTATGTGCTGCAGAACAGGAACCTGCTGTAAAACAGCAATTATGCTGAGTCAGGCTTGATTTTTAGTAATCTTTTCCTGTTAAATCAATAAATCAAATCAAATCAAAGTTAGAGGCAGTGCATTCCACAGCCTGGGGGTCACGGCCCTAAAGGCTTTATCCCCTCTAGTCTYGAAATTAGTCCGTGGAACCATTAACAACCTTTGACTGGAAGATCWGAGGCTGCGAGAAGAGGAGCAGGGCTCTAAAAGGTCAGCAATATAGACTGGGGCTTGACCACACAGGGCTTTAAAGGTAAGAACTAAAATTTTAAAATGAATTCTAAAATATACCGGCAGCCAATCTAAAGAAATTCAAACTGGAGTTATGTGTTGTCTTTTCCATGTGTTGGTTAAAAGCYTTGCAGCAACATTCTGAACTGTCTGCAAATGGTTGAGGTCCTTCTTATTAAAACACATGAAAAGACTGTTACAATAATCCAGATGAGATTAAATAAAAGTATGGATGATCATCTCCAATTCAGCTTTTGACACAAGAGACTTGAGCCCGGAAATATTTCTGTTGAAAAAAGCAGTTTCGGGTTAGTCCATGAGACTGGCACTGCCTTGACATGGCAGAGTCAAAAATAATGCCAAGCTTTCTAAGGTTTGCTTTAATAGAGGAAACGAATACACCCAGGTGTTGCTTGATTTCAGTTACTTGTTTGTCAGAAGCAATAATTAAGGTTTCAGTTTTAACACAATTTACCTGCAGCAAGTTGTCACTGAGCTATTGTTTGATACTAACTCATTAACTGTGTCAGAAGTCAAAACATGGCTGAACAACAACTACCTGCAGTTAAATGCAAACAAGACTGAAACTCTTATTATGGCCCCTGATGATAAAATCCCTGTAATC